AGCCATTCCAGTACTGTTGGCAGCTGAGTCAGAATTCCTCTGGTGGGTTCCTTCCAGTCACGCACAGTTTGCCTTGAAATTAATGTAAATCTCCCGGCAGGCATTTCCTTCCCTGATCCATCCACAAGAGAGGAAGCAATCCAGGTTTTGGACTTCCTCTCTTGGCATCTGGCTAGGAGAGGGGGGGCGCAGAGATAAAGGATGGGGGGACACATCCCTTCCACTGTGGATTTTCCTCTACCTCCAGGTTGCCCGCCCTGCTTTCAAGGCAGGGGACAGGGGTGTCACCAAAAGGGTAATGTTGTTCTTTAGGCCCCAACAGAAAGGCAAGGGGGATGAAGCATTGCAAGTCTGGTATAACTAAAATTCTAAAGAACCCTGCCGTCTTTGATAACGGTAGCCTTATTAAGATAAGGAGATGTTAAGCATCCTCTGTTGACATTATTATTCCTATTTTCATCCTCAGGGACTTTTTTAAATTGAAGGAAAATATGCACGAGCTTCACCTGAAATTGAATTGAAGGAGAAAGTGATCAAGGATCTATCTGAATTAGGGATTAATTGATTTGAGGAGGATCATTACCCCAGATAGTTTACCTGTGTGGTTATATGTCATTCACTGCAAATAATAAGGCCTAATATATTTTTGTACTTTCCCCTTTCCATTCCCTTTTCCTTTTCTTTCCTGTTTTTAGCCTTCAATTAGAGTAATTGTTAAATAGCACTCCCTCACTCCACTCCATGACAAGCAGTGGAAAATTTTACTCAGGAGGTCCCACTGACTCCTAGGAAAATAGCCCAAATCCATGTAGTTCCAAATGTACCAAGTGTTTTCCCCTACACCAACCCAGCATAAGAGGGTTAGTGTGTTTTCTCACTGCCAGGTGCAGTTAGTTTGAATCAAGCTGTGATCTAAAGTTCAGATCCGTCTCTCGTATCTGTACTTCATCTTCCCCAGTGCTGCCACTGCTTTGGAGATCGGTGAACACTGAAGAACCCGGTCAGTTTTCCCAGTGCAAAGGTGAACTGAAAGGCTGGTCCCTCATGCCTTTGGAGACCACCTAATCAAAGCACCGCATTCATTTGCTTCCTTGTTCGTTCAGTGACAGGCTATAAAAGCCATCCATGGAATTGTTTTCATTGGGCATAATGCTTTCATTTTGCAACGAAGTGTTCGACAAAGCCAACACCATTTGACATTTTGGACTGAAGGTGTAAGAGAGGCAGGCAGAAGGTGGGTTGGGATCTACTGGTAGAACACCAACTGATTTCCTGCAAATCACCAAGTGCTTCCCACCCCCAGCAGCTTTCCGGGAAAGGATAATGTGAACAAATTCTCTGTGTTTTTTCCAGCCGCTTAATTTTGGAGGGAATCAAGGAAAAACTGGCTGTGCAGGGAGTAAGAGTGCTGGTTTTGCAAACAAATTTGTGGGCTCAGCATGTGCTCAGTGTCTTGTTCTGCAGTCATCTGTCTGCCTTTTTCTCAAGTCACAGCGCTGCACTTGGCTCTGGGAGCTGGACCTTGAGTTCCAATGAAAGCTCAAATAGACCCAGGAAGCCTAAATCAGGGGTAAAAAAGCCTTGTGGACCTCTGGACAGGCGCACCTGGCAATCTGAGAAATGGGCACAGGCACCACCACAAAATGACCAGCCAGGAAGGTGTGTCCACTCAGAAAGGGCACGTGACCTGGCCAAAGGTTTGAATTCAAGGCAGTGGTGGAATCAACCTCACACACACTTTCGATCCCACAGTTTTCAGTGCCAACAGACAAACTCTCCTTCCTGCCCCTAAATCCTTCCACCAGCCAATTCATTCTCCCTTTCTCTCACTTTTTTTCCTCGTTCTCTTGATGGCTTTGACTGGTTCAGAGGAAAGCACTGGCCAGGCACCTGTCATAGGCCTCTCCCAAGCCCCCCGTGTGGCCTCTGGAGCTGAAGGGAGCCCACGTGGCATAGTGCGCAGAACTGGGACTCAGGTGATCTGGGTTCTAGTCCCACCTCCCTGGGTAACTTTGGCCCATTCACCAGCTCTCAGCCCAACCTACCTTACAGGGTTGTTGTTGCAGGGATAAAACTGAGTGTAGGAGGATGAGAGTGATGTAAGCCACTTCACATTCCTTAAAAGGAAAGAGGCAGGATAAAAATCTAATTAATAAATAAAATGAAGATCACAATAGGTGGAGTTCCTCCCTTAGCTTTGAAGTGTATCCTCTGCTCAAAATATGTGTCCATTAAAATAATATTAACCATGGGAGGGTTCAAGCACTCTTGGAGGTGTCAACATTGGCACTGTGTTGGTTACCCCCACTTATAGTCTGCCAGCCCTGACGCAACGTGTAGCATTTATAGAAACAGAGAAACAGAGCGAGTCAGAAGGGGCCTCCCGGACCATCTAGTCTGACCCCCGGCTCCGACCCCCGGCTCCAGCCAGCTCTGCTCACGACAGGCCCACCATTTGTGTTATTACGAACAACTCTTTGTCTTCTTTGGAAAGGGGCTTTAGATTGACTCAGGCACATTCTGCATGCCAGCCCCAGGGGCTTGTGGGGGGGCACATGCCCTCTTGCAGGTGGGAGGACACATGCCCTCACTCCTGCTGGGCCCAATCCATGCACTCTCCCAAGGGGACATGCAAGACAAGTGGAGCGTGTTCTACCATCTTCTTGCTACCCGTCCATGCTTGGAATGTTGGAGCTGCAAGGAGAACGAACAGACAGCAAAAACAAGGAGCACTCGGAAAAGGCAGGAGAGGAAATTGGGGTGGGGGTGCCAGCAGTGTGAATCTGACATTCGGAGATGAGATTAAAGTCTGATGTGAGCGCTGAAAACCCCCAACATTTTAAGTTCAGGTCCAAGAGATCATCCTGCACCTATTTCAACTGAGTGAGGAAAAGGGAAAATGTTTTGTAAAGGAAGAACTGCCTTGGATATCAGCATGAAAGCATTCTACTTCTCAGGGCTGAGCCTCTGGATCACCCACCTATTTCTGGGGAACAGCAGGAAAGACACAGGACCTTTATGTATTGTTTCATACCCTTGCTTTTTGGCAAAAGTGGTGCCCAGTGCCCAACGATAATAAAATACAGGTTGAAAAAAATGTCTTAAACAAAATAAAAAGCAACAAATTAAAACAAATTGGTTTAAAAAGCAGCAATAAAAGAGGCTATATAACATGTTCTCCCACTTGTACTGCAAGATATCACTATGAAATTGGCTATATGCATTTCCAGTGTAATTATCAGTGTCCCACTCCAATGAAATAAATCAGAAGGGGAAGTGTAGAGACATTAGGAGCATGATTTCAGAGATGTATGCAGTTCCAACCCTGTGCCAGGTGCTACACGGAATTTAGAAATGACCTCACTCCTGTCCAGCAATCCTTCAGCCTATGTGCGCTAGAGAAAATACGGAATGGAAGCAAGGAGGGGTTTATTTGCATCCTTTTTCCTGCCAAAGAATTCAAGGCAGCTTACCTCCTCCTCCTCCTCCTACCCCTCACCAATCTTTTCTCGGAACAACAACCCTGTGAGGTAGACTGGGCTGAAACTCTGTGTATGGTCCAAATTCACCCAAATTGCCTGTATTCCAGTCTCACACTGGCTTTTATTTATGATGAGCTAAGCAGTGAAAGATTCATTACATCTGATGGCAAGAGGAGGACCTGAACATACAGTAGGTTTAATTCAAGGAAAGTTTGGTTAAAGGAATCATATGGCCATACCAAGCAACATCCAGGGAATAGCGCCGAAAATGCAAGCTCACCCTGGGCATTTTGTAAATATATGTTGGCATGAAGGATAATGGATATTTGGTGATGGTGACGGGGAGCGAGGAGGAGAACTGTTACTTGATGCATTAACCTTTCACCTCGGAACATCCATTTCCACATCTTTAGCAGATGGTTGATCAAAATGTGTGTGGAGAGAAGTTCTCCTATGTCAGGCTGGTAACCTCCCAGAGTTAGCCACACTTCATTCATTCCCAAGGAATCAGAATATCCTTCCTGCCACCTTCTAGCATAGAAACAGAGCGAGTGAGAAGGGGTCTCCCGGGCCATCTAGTCTGACCTCTGGCACCAGCCGGCTCCTCTCATGACATGCCCACCATGTGCACGCCCAATTCTCCATGCCAGCATGTCCACCTTCATCCATTACAAGGTTGAGTCTTCTGGAGAACATGCCCTTTCATCTTCTCTAGAGAGTTGGGGACCCTTCAGACCAGTTTCAGAGAGGGGAGTCCAGTAAAGGGGAGAGGAAGAGAAGGTTGAAGTGATGCTACACAAGTATGAAGTTAGATGCATACCTAAATATGTTGTTTGCATGCCTGATGCTCCCGCAGACAAAGGTGTGGCATTGGAATACACATCACAATCATGGCTCCCAAATAAAACAGGGAACAGTCCAGAAAGATTGCACATCTATAACATGAGCTGCAGTATGAACAAGCCAACGAGATTAAGCAGGGAGGTTCCATCCTGCAGAAATGTCTTACAGCTTCGGTACTGGCATGGGAAGCATTACCAGCACACACATGTGGTCAAACAAACAAGCACATACGTGTTTTTTCCATTATGGGAATGTTCTCACAACTTTTAGTAAAGTAATACCAGACTAGCTGTACCAAAACAGCTTCAGAAAGATACATAGAAGAGAAAAAGAAAGAGAAAAGCCATATGTGGTGCCTCCAAACTTACATTAATTTTGTGTCTGCGTCCCATTTAGAGAAATGTTGTTATTTCCAAAAGCTACACAGAGCTCCCATTTTCCCATAAATGTCATTTTCTTCCATGCACCTTCATGTAATTGTAGTGAGCTTACACTTGAGCATAATGGACCAAGCTTTTCAAAGCTGCTGTTCAACAGATGGGTTTATTTCTCTTTGTGGTCGTTGTTCTTGTGTTTCCCTTAACAATGTTCATTTCTAGAACTAAGGTGCATGGCTCTGCAATCACCTGCTTTCGATTTTTGCTCTCCATCAAAAGGCCCAGAAGCGACACAAAGATGCCAATCCTAGAAAAAGACGCAGAGAAGAAAGGGAAAGACATTCACCGCCAAGATGAAACGGTGAGTGACTTTTTCTGGAAAATTACATCAGAACAGGGCATGGATTAAAGAGCAATTGTTGCAGGGGGGGTGGGAGGCTTCTGGGAGTGGGGAAGCAGGTACCCCTCCTGGTAGAGGTCATTCTTCATGGTGATTCCAAACATCAAAGGGTACATGCATTTGCATTAAACAGTACAACCATGGGCAGTGGGAAACAATATGGAATGTACTGAATGGTCAGTGAAGAATGCTTAAGGAGAATATTATCTGTATTTTACAGAGCAATCCTAAGCCAGTTTTCTCATAAGTAAGTCCCATGGACTGAAATGAACTCTTTTCTCCAGTCATTGTGTTTAGGACAGCAGCCTCAATCCATTAACCAATTACATACTAAATAACCTTAAAAAATGTAACTGTGCCTTTTTGTGTGCAATGATTTACAATAAGGGTTGAAGAAATGCTTTTGGCTCGAGGGCGGAATCAGAACTCCGCTTTAGAGACACTCTTGAGTGGCAGGTGTGACACAAACCAAATATACCAGCATATCATTACTTAAAGCTCTTAATGCCATCGAATAAGCTCTAAGACAAGCATTTTCGTCTTTTAGAATATGGAAAAAACTGCACAAACACCAAGAAAGGGGAGTGGGCCAGGGCTCGGCCACCTGGGGAACCTCTAAGGGCCTGACTTGAGCTGTGGGCCTAAGGTTCCCCACCTTTGATCCATCATTTCTTAAACAAATGTTGCCATTGTTAGAAGAAACTTCCTTCTCCCCAACATTTTATTTTCCTGTACTTCTTAAAAAGAACGCCCTCAAATCTCAGATTCTACCTGTTCTTGGGTCCCTTCGCTACTGATTCCACTAACTAGCATTGTCTCCAAGATTGGTAAATTCATGTTCTGGTTGATTCATCTGTCAAGTAAACCAGCTGCACTTCAGAGTCTTGATCAGAATCTCTCTTGGTTCTTCAGAGAGACCTCTCCTGTTTCCCCCTGTGTTAATGATGCACACAATGTGAAAAGCTGTGGCAGCCTTTGAGGACTAGATCTGCTCAGTAGGAGACTCATCCTGGAATTCTGGATGCTACAAATGCAATCCTGAGCCATTTTGGAGAGAAGCAAAATGCCCATGTCCACACCAGGTAGATCTGACAGATTTCACATGGGACAGGATATCTGGCTCTGGCTGGTTGCGGAAGAGGGAGAATTTCCACCCATTCATGCCTTCACTCATGGCAACACCATGGTAGAAATTGTACCGGCCAATTTTCTCTTCTACCAACTGTTTCTGAGACAGCAGCCCCACTCATGCAGAATCTGACATATCTTGTGCAGAACATGAAGTTTCCTCCTAAACTTATAGTTGCAACAAAATGCTAGCACAGAATCCACAACTGATCCTCGAATATCATTTTGATTAGGTTCTACCCAAGCTTCCAGTTCCACCCCTGCAACAAACATTGCACATGTTCCTTCAATGCATGAAACACTTGGTGTCAGAAGAACAGTATAAGAAGACACAAGTCATAGTGGAGAAGTTTGGAGCAACGGGAGGCCCTGGAGAGCTCCTTCAGCAAAAGCTTCTTGAAAGACGGGAAAAGCTTGACAACTGGGTAAGCCTGGTGTTATTTGTTTCCAAATGGCTTTTAAAATGTGACACCTAAAATGGGCTAAGAACAACTGGAGCCTGCTTCTATTGTCTTCTATTTCCCCGCTTTTCCAGGATAGGTAGCTCTGGAGCCACACGGTGCTTAGAAGCATTCTAGTTTGCAGAAGTGCTGCTTTCGTAAAGGAAATGAAAGATTAAAAAGTGGGAAAAGTATGGCTAAAGAAGAATGATTTTGACAATATATGGGGTTTGCTTATTGGACATGTATTAATAAAAGGGAAGGGCACTAAACCGCCAGTGAATCTATTGCAATTTTGGATGGAAGGGGGTATTTCTGAAAGACTGGGAAAATGAAAGGAAAAAATACTCGGCAGCCATGGTCCCAGGGAAGGGATGCACCAAGGGTGATTTTTATTTGTGTGTGTGCGTTCTGTGGTTTTTCCTTTATTATATGATTTTTGTACTTGTATTTGTACTTTGTTAAAAAAATGAAATTAAAAAAAAAGAAATGAAAGCTGGGTTGGGTGTAGAGTCTATAGACATGAGTGCCACAAATATTACCAGTTGGTGGTGAAATGAAAGTCAGAGGCCAGATTCACATGAACATGGGCTGTTGTTGAATCATGGATTGTTACATGCAAACCCTTGCACTGTGATTTAACTATGAGTTGTGACCTATGAATAACCCAGAATTGATGATGCCACAACAAACCCTGGATTCTGTTCCTGGGCTGTTCATGGGTAACAACTCATGTATTGTAAGCCACCTAGGAAGGCCTCGGCAGTTATAGACAGCCTATAAATACATGTATAAATAAACCATGACCCAGATTTCACGTATAATGACAACCCACAATTAAATTAGGAGGCTTCTGTTGGCTGGAGCACTGCTCTATAGCATCCATAGCAAAAGGATTAACCAGACCTGGATACAAGTTAAGTAATTCCTGACAGTCTAACCTTGCATGAAAGATGTTTCATGAATCAGGAAATCCAGAATCTTTGTAAAAAGAATTAAGCACATGGCAAAAGAAATTGGTTCAATCTACACAAACCAAAATGACTATCCATTTCCAAGTTAATTCCATTAACCAATGCACGTAACAATGACAGGAATAATGGCTAATCAATGCCGCAGCAACAATAGATTTTTCTGCCAAATGTCACCAGTTAAGAGCTATCAAAACTGTATTTCTTTAAAATCAAATGGGATGTAGGCTTTCCTGTTTCTGCAAACAATGCAAATCAAGAGAATTATAAAATTTGGGGGTTTTAAATCATGTGGTCATTTCACTTGAAAAAGTGGAATTCTCCTGCAAAAGGAGAGAAGATTTTCAAATACAGAAATATCAAATGAAGGGAAAAGGATTCATAATAATGGACAATATGAGCAGAAACACCTTTTCTTTTCCACCAGGGCCCTGGCTAAGTGTTAAAATCCCTAGTGAATGATAGATGCCAGAGGAATTCTAATTCTAGGACTGGGTTAGGCTCTGAGATTTTAGGCTAGTTTTCACCAAGGTGGTGGCTCCCAAATGCATGGACTACAACTCTCATCATTCCCTGCCAACATGGAGGGCACCAGGTGAGAATGACTGCCCTAGGGAATATGAGAGAAGAGTTTTATTTTCAACATCTGTTCCTACAGCAATGGAAAAGGTCTCAAAGGAACCCTATTTCAGCAAATGCCTAAAATGCAGCAATAAGCACATAAACATGGAAAACTTATTATATTGTTTGGCTCTGTCATCATCTGTGACTGTTATTTTTGACAGGTTTTAAACTACTGGCTAGATGACATGTACCTCAACAACCGATTGGCTCTTCCAGTCAATTCCAGCCCAGCAATTATCTTTGCTCGCCAACAGTTCCAAGATGCAAATGACCAACTGAGGTAAAGTTTCTGTGGATCACACTGAGAACGAATCCTTCCATATTCTATTGTGGCAAAGCAGTAATAAAAGATAGATGGATTTCCAAAATCATTACACATGGAGGTAAAACTAGTCTTGAAGGTGAAATTCAACATTCCACACATTTCAGGTAACTTAAATTCCTCTCTTAGGCTACCTGAACTATTTAGTTCAGACTGATTATCTGTTGCTCATAGCACATGAATTAATGATCACATGATCAGGAATTGCCCAGGCAAATGGGAGAATCATCCAATGCCAACCATGATGGAATGATTATGGAAAATTTGGAAAGTACCTGATATAGCTAAATCAGAGATTCCCAGCATTTGCAGGCTGATGGGCACATGTGGAACTTGAAGAGTGTGCTTTGGCCACACTCCGACAATGGCTACCAAGAATGGCAGTTGCCCATTCACAAAATGGCTGCCATGGTAGGCACAGCCGGTCAGAAAGCAAGGCAGATTCCTATGGACACCATAGATAACAAGGCAGGTTCCCATGGACACCATATTCATAACAAAAAAATTAAGCTGTTCTTACAAAACCACCTGTGTTCATTAATTAGTGATGGTGATTTCTGGAATATCAAGCTATTCACTGACTGTTTTTCCAAGATCACAATATTGTAAAAGGTTTTATCAATAAAAGAAGTCTTACAAACCGCCATAAAACACGTACTTCAGTCAAACAGGTTTGTTATGGATTAACCAAAAGAGGAAGACTCTGTGCTTTATCTTGTGGAAACCAAAGGTCAGAGGTCATGCTTTTCAAGGAAAATATATTCTGTGCATATATGTGTCTTCTTATGAAGACTTGAAATTAACAGCTTCTTGGAAGAAGGACTGTATGAGAAATGGCTCCTGTTGTTTATGACATCCTTTCACTAAACAAACAATCTTGGTGCCCAAAAAGAGAACAGCATCTGCTTCGCTACAGCTCAGACCTGCTGAACTGTAACACCACCAAACATGTTTCAGGATCTAGTATGAGATTTTTGTGTCGCAAAGGGAAATGACCCCGTCCGCAGCCTTGCCAGTACAAAATGGGTGTATCAGAGGGGGCATCAAATTACAGCAACTTATAGACATGCAGGAAGCCAGAGATGGGGGACTTTCTGTCCATTGTTCCGCCATGCTGGTTCAGAGGGCACACGGGGCTTCCAGCAGGGTCCAGCCATTCAGTGTTAAGACTAATGGGAAGAGGAAGTCCTTCGTCATGACTAATCACCAATGAGAGATAATAGGAGTGCCTTCCTCCAGCTTCGGCTAATCCATCAGCTGCGTCCCTACCTGGAAGAAGATTGCCTAGCAACAGTGACACACACGTTGCTTACTTCCTGGTTGGATTTCTGCAGCATGCTTTATGTGGGGCTGCCTTGAAGACAGTCCGGATACTTCAGATGGTGCAAAACAGAGCTGCCAGGATGCTGACGGGGACTGGGCATTATTCTCACATAACCCCAGTCCTCTATCAGCTCCACTGGCTTCCCATTGAAGTCCGGGCTCAATTCAAGGTGCTGGTTATTACCTATAAAGCCCTAAATGGCTTGGGACCTGGATACCTAAAGGAATGCCTTCTTCCCTATTTGCCCTCCTGCCCCCTGAGATCGGCAGCAGATGCCCTCCTCCGGGAACCCTCTGTGAAAGACATTAGGAGACAGAGTACCCGGAGGAGGGCCTTCTCTGCGGTGGCGCCCCATCTATGGAATGCGCTCCCCAGAGAGGTCCGCCTGGCTCCGTCACTATATGTTTTTCGGTGCCAGATCAAGACCTTTTTATTTGATCAACATTTTAATAAGTTTTAATATTGTATTTTTTATCATTATATTTTAACCACAGCCAGAGTGGGTCAATAATTTATTTATGTTTGGTGATATTTGTATTTCATCTTTGTAAGCCGTCCTGAGGCTTTTGCCAAGGACGACATATAAATATCCTAAATAAAATAAAATAAAATATAGTAGGGATTCCCTTTAAGAGGCTAGTTACCTTCCCAATTGGAGGGCAAGCTGTACTGTCTCACCTTCCTAAAGTGCAGAACAGGTGAAGATGCTTCAGTTGGGGCAACTTCGCTGTGCATGAGCTTCCCTTGCCTAGGAAAAGCCCACCTGCTACACAGTTGGGGGACGAATGAGGTCAGAAGAAAGGGCTGGTGTCTCCTGACCTACGAAGGGCTTGTGGGGGCTTGACTCTTTTCCCAAATAAAGTCTCCACCACTGCCCTAAACAGACCAGATGTGCCACCGATTTAAATACACTGCCCTATATGATTGTCGAGAAACATCTATCCCTTAGGGCCAGAATAATTTTGTACACTGTGAGGGGTTGTCCTATTGACACTAAACCAGAGGTGGGTTACTCTGGGCATCCCAAGGGCCAATTTCCAGCCCCTGGACCATCCAACCTCCCTCCAAGGTCTCTTTCAACTCTGTCATTCTGTGTGGGTGGACCTGGGAAAATGGGATGGCAGCTTCTGTTGCCCAGACTCTATTCCAGCCAGCAGACTGGAATGGAACTTTTCTGCACCACTTTGCAACCAACAACTGCCTAGTTCCAGGGTGCTGGTGAAGCTGGAACTAATCCCAGCACAGTTTCCCACATGATATACTTTTTGCTTTGTTGTTAGGAGCGTGGACCTAAACAGCTGGACTTCCCTGGCATGTCAGAGCTTGAATGAATGTGAGATGCCCTTAACATGACAAGCTAAACCGAAAGTCTTTTGTTTGTTGACTGTGGTATAATTTTGCACAAGAAGCCAGATAACGATTGTTTTAAAAGCCTCAGCACCAAATACTTAGGTCCTCACCTGGATTCTTTGTGCGGGGGCTACAATTCTGAGCATGATTTCATAGGTGCATCATGGTTTTCCATGTGCAAGACTGCAGCCGAGAATCTGGTTTCCTCACGTTCTGCCTGCCTGTCAGGGAAAGAAAGCTACATAGAAAATACTAAATACAAATGGAATTCTAACATGTTTTAAACGCTAGATTCAGTCACCTTCTGTTTTGCAGGGACAATGCATAGCAACATAAAGAATAACAACTGCCGACTGTACAGGACAGAACATGCCCTGTAAGCTGAATCATTTCATGGCAACAATTGCTTGCTAGGAAACAGTTTCACATCTTTCTGATGCAGGCAGCCCAGTCGTCAGTCCAAACTCTCTTAGCTTACAGAAAACCTGCTTAGAAACCAGGGGAACTCTGCAGTGGGAGGAGAAGGGGAGCTTTGCTGCTCAGCCCAAGGTAAAAGGTCATCAGGGGTTGTTTTTATTTAAGAAGCTCCTTGGAGGCCTCCTTCTCATGCCTTAGCTAGGTGTGAGGATGGCAGATTTGTTTCACAAGTCTTCCTGACTCCCATAGAAAGCAAAGAATGCTTTGCATATGAATCGGTGCTGATGGAGGGCTCCTTCTCTTCTCTTCTCTTCTCTTCTCTTCTCTTCTCTTCTCTTCTCTTCTCTTCGAGGGAAGAGCGACCCATCTCAAGATTGCTGGAATGCATGTGTGTTTCTGCACATGCATAGAATTATGTCTGCACACATGTGCAAACAGCCATACTGCCCTGGCTGCCAGACAAATGTCATAGGTGGCCCATGGGGCTGAAAAGTTTATCCACCCCTGAAGTCAGCGCTTTTTCTTTGACTTTATCCTGTTCAACACTTTTACAGGTTTTACGTTGTGTTTTATATTAGGCGCTTAATTCTGTGAACTGTCCCAAAGAGCTTTGGCTATTGTGTGTGATCAGAATTAAATTAATGCATAAATAAATGTGTGGTGTTTAATGTGTCAGCCTTTGACGGAAATAATCCTGGGGTTTGAATCCCCACTCAGCCCTTTGGGTCAGTTATAATTATTTTAGCCTAACCTACCTTCCAAGGTTGTGTTGAGAATAAACTGAGATAGAACATGAATACTACCCCAAGTTCTTTGAAGGTGTGATGGAAGCATTTTGTTGTTGTTGTTGTTGTTATTATTATTATTAAATGTGTATAAAATCCACCCATTAGCATCATGCTCTCTGGCCAGCCATTACAATAAGAATATCAATAAAACATTGAATAAAATAATACAATTAAAATATTTTAATAAATAAACACCATAAAACACAATATAGCTAATCAGACAAAAACATACATCAATAAAATTAAAAAATTAAAACCAGTGCCATCAATATAGATGGTCTAAGTAGTGCCATGGGTACATTGAAAAAGAAAAGTTTTCATCAGGTGCCTAGAACTCAGTAAAGTAGGCACCTGACAAATTGCCAGTGCAGAACATTCCACAAGAGAATTACAGACGTAAGTACTAAAAGTAAATGATTCCACAGGCAGAGTCACTACTGGGAGACTAGTGTGCAAAAGGTCCGCCCAACCACCCTACACACAGTGTTAATGTACAGAGTCTAACCACATCCACCGCCAGGAGCGTAATAGATGCTACCTCTGTCTTTTGCTTGCAGGTTTGCTGCCAATCTCATTTCTGGCGTGCTTGACTACAAAGCCCTGCTGGACACGTAAGCTCTTTGCTTTTTTGGAACAGAATCAATGTTTTCATCAGGAGCCTAAAGACATACAAGCTGGAGCATTTGCAAAGGTCGAAGCTCAAATAATCCAGTTCAAATAAATAAATCCTTACCACTTAGTCTGTTTGCCTAATTTACAGAATTTTGAAAAATATTATTCACCTCCCCCGCACACAAAAACACTTAAATTATAAAAGGCACACCGAAAGATTCGGATTCCCTTTTGTAATTTAAGTAATTTAAGTGGGGAGACAATATACTAACCCTTCTTCCTGCCAGAGGACAAACATAGGCACCAGAAAGTGGAAATGTGAAGGCTCCAGGCTGGGCAGTGATCAAGAACAATTTACAGCGGGTGGGGGTGGATTTTTCCCCTGAATTCCCCCCACCCCCAAGAAGCAAAACAAGTTCTACAGATAAAGGATAGTTTCCCCAGCCTGTTTCAGTTTGCATATCTGTACCAGAAAAGCAGTTTGTTGATAAGGTCATCATATCTGTTTTTGCAGGTACTGCTTTTAAAATGATTTCCAGAAGTTACAGATATGAACCAATCTGACCCTGGTCCTTTTTTAAATAACTCATAAATCTCAAATACTTCAGGAAACGGAGCTGTTTTCCCTGTCTGCTTAGTAAATGAAACACTTTAGGCCAACTCTGCAAAGCCACAGACCTTCTTTTTCTCCCCATGAAGGACCACTTATAAACTCTACAGATGTGGCACAGTATTGTATTTCCTCTGTGTGGTTAGATGTTCCAATAACGAGTGTTGGACAGGGACAGTGTGAAGGGAATGCCTGTGTTTGTCCTTGTTTTGCATGCCATTTGTGTTTTCAGCACATATCAACTGAATGCAAATACGGTTGCCTAGTAAGCTGATAGGCCTGCCCAGAATATTGAATTTTGACTTTGCTATAGGAATCCATCCATTTCCCTTTACTGTAATCTTATTTTTGTATGAGTCTAACTGTGTTGTGTATCTAAATCTAATTGTAAACAAAACAAAGGACAGATTAGATTTCGTTTCCCTTCTGTCTACTTCTCTCTCTTTCTCTGTCCCTCCAGCCATGCTTTGCCTGTTGATTTTGCTCGCGGACAGCTCTCTGGCCATCCCCTCTGTATGAAGCAATACTATGGACTCTTTTCTTCCTATCGTCTTCCAGGACCTACCAAAGACACCTTGGTGGCCCAGAAAAGCAATATCATGCCTGAACCAGAACATATCATTGTTGCTTGTAACAATCAGGTGTGTGGATCTTCATTGTGCGCATGTCTTTCAAAACCCAAGTCTGATTCATTTTGCCATTGGCATCCAAGACAAATGATTTCACTGAAGTCCCTGCAAGAGAACAGGGGTTGGGGAAGGGAGTCATGCCTTTGCTGAAATGATCGTGTAGCAAGGATGAGCATATTAAGTGAATCATAGAATCACAGTTGGAAGGGGCCTAGAGGGCCATCAAGTCCAACTCCCTGCTCAACACAGGATTCAAGTCTCCCATCCAGATTCTAACCAGGGCTGACCCTGCTTAGCAGCCAAGATTAGGCAAACTCAGGCACTTCGGGCTATAAGGAAGCCTCCTTTTGGTTCTGAGTGTGTGCTACTCAATGACTGATGTGGATTAGAGCTACAATTCTGGATAAATAGACTCAAACCTCTCAGTCACACCAGCTGCTTAAAGATGTTTGTTGCTTAAGGAGGTGACTCTTCTGTTGGTGAAAATGAGAAGTTCCCCTTCTCTCGCAAAACATGGTATGAAAAGACACCCAGTGACAGCTTCTGTGGATGGCTTAGAGTGGGGCAGACAACTTTGCACTCTCCAGATGCTTTGGACTACAGTCCCCGTAAATCACATAAGTCAGTGTGGCCAGTGGTAGAGGGCCATGGGAGCTGGCACTGAAGCATCGGAAGGGCACCAGGTTGCCCACTTAGTGTATAGGTCTGGCTTCTGTTCAGGGACTGAAAGAGGCTCTAAGCTATAGAGATGTGGTCATTCTGCCTGCCTCTGCCACGCGGCATGTAAAGCAGAGATGGAGAATGTGCAGCCCTTCAGAGGATGTTTGACCAGAGCTCTCATCAGCAGTGGCCTGCTGAGCCATGGATGAGAGACCATGGGAGTATTATTATTATTATTGTTATTGTTATTATTATAACATTTCTATGTCGCCCCTTGCCGAAACCTCGGGGCGGCTTACAACACAATAAAATACATTGAAATACAATAGAACATAATGAATTACCATTAAATACAAAAATACAAAAAATACACTGAGTTACAAATATAAAATTAATATTATCAGTATAAAAGAAGTAAATAAAAATATAGGAGGAGAAAGAGAAGGAAGAAGAAGTTGCCCTGGCCAGATCATATGTTTTAACAATTAAAATGATGTTTAAATAAAAAGGTCTTTACCTGGCGCCGAAAAACCAGTAACGACGGTGCCAGGCGGACCTCTTTTGGGAGTGAATTCCATAGGTTGGGCTGTCCAACAGTATCTACTGGGCCATACTTCCCAGTTATGTGACAAGAAAACCACAGAGGCGTATCTCTGAACATCCCGGGCATGTGCCCCGGAAAACATGGATCCCTGAGGCTTGCGCCTGAATGTTAAAGAATAAGGCATTTGCCACATTCAATGGCTGCACTGTTGTGTTGTGTGCGTGTGTGTGGTTCATATTTCTTGTGGGAAGCACCAGTGGGAAGCTACAGTGAGCACAGATGCAACATAAAAATGGGCAGCTATTCTAAGAAAAGAAGTTCAGCTGCTCAGCTGTGAACGAGGAGTAGCTGGAAGAGAACGCCTGCCCCATTCTTTGCCACAACGTAAACAGCTAGTTTGTTTTTCAGCACCCTCCAGAGTACCCTTAAAGCCCCAAGGACTTGGTGCCTAATATCGAAAGGATACTATTCCCTTGCACAAGCATCCCAAAATTTACAGTCCTCACTAGGAACCCTCTAAGTTATGTGAGGCTGTAAGAGGGGGGGAAAGAAGGCACTTTTCAGTTGTGAGATTGCATAAGAAATGCCCTTCGTTTTTTAAAACTATAAAAATAAAAAAGTTATATTTGCCCAGGCTTTTACAGTATTGTCTCTTATTTTTATAGGCAGGTTTACTGTCCGCTTGTTTTGTTGTTCAGTTGTGTGGTTTTAGGGTGTTTGTTTATTTGTTTCATAGGTTAGAGAAAGACTTATTTGCATTTTGCCTTTAGTAACATGCTTATGAATTTCAGGAACTGCCCTGGGAGTTCCTGTAAACTGAAGGGTGGCATATTTTTTACTAAATAAAACATATCCATGACCTTTCTTTCAACTGCTTTTCCTTCCTCTGCAGTTTTTTGTTTTGGATGTTGTCATTAATTTCCGCCGTCTCAGCGAAGGGGATCTTTTCACTCAGTTGTGTAAGATAGTCAAAATGGCTGAGAATGAAGAAGAGAGACTGCCTCCGATCGGTCTCCTGACATCTGATGGACGGACAGAGTGGGCTGAAGCCAGGACAATCCTTGTTGAAGGTTAGCAAGAATGACCCAAACAGTCTCTGTACACCATCCTCTTCCCCCATTTCCACTGACCTTCATTCCACAAAAGGAAGCTTTGCATTGTGTGGCCAAGTCACCAAAGCAGAGAAATCCATCTCCAAACTGGAGGACAGTGACTTCCATAAAACATGCGATCCTAATTTATATGTATTATTTAGCAATAGTAGTAGCAGCAGCTTATAATGAAGAAAGCTGGCAGCTCCGAACCAGTGGGATGGCAGATCCATGCCTGGTATCAGCCCAAACCTTTGAGGATGTGTCCATGGTACTAAACCCCCATTTAGATTCAGCACCATTGACAGCTCATGAAAAGTTCAGTCTGAAATCCAGAATGGATACCCCACCACCTCAAGTTAGAGCATCGAGGATGTTTTTGGTTCCCCAGAATACCTGACTCATCTTAGCTGGGTTGATCAGAAGTAATAATCCCATCTGGTCATTATGTTACAGTGCAGCAAAACTGAGGCCAATATCTGCCAAGAGATTCAGGAAGAAAGAGAGGCATCTGGGTCTTGATCCAGGCCTGGTTTTGAGTCCCTTGGCACTTTATAGATCCCATGCATTCTCCTTAAAGCAGGGACAGAAAATCTGCAGCCCTAGCAGGTACATGCAGCCTTTGGCCCAAGTTCATGGAGTCCATAGCCCATTTTCAAATAATTCTGTGTGTAATCTCTTCATACCCCTGGAAAAAACCCTCTGGAAAAAAAAATTGCAGTCACTTTCTGCTATTAGGGATGCTGACTTATGGTTTTCCTGTCTCTTTTTACTTCCTTTGGAAACATCTCATCTCAGCTTATGGCATGAATCCACACATCATGCAAACGGAAAGCCATCTGGCAGACAAAGCCAAATGAAAGTTTGAAATGTAAAATAAAAGAGATCATCACACCGCAACAGTCATGAAATTTGCCTTTATTCAAAAGCTAGTTTCCCCTCCCCTCCCCCTCCTTTCACTCCAAAGGGATTGAGGAACATCTCTGTGGAAATAATGATGTGACACATCAGGCTTCATTCCGATCTTCTTTGTATGGGCCAGTAACAAAAGTGCACAGAGATTAAGTGCAATGGCTTAGTTTTTAATATGCCCAGGGATCAATATTGGTGGGGTGGTGTATCCACTCTGAGTTTCAGTCTGAGCTACTCACCATGAATATCCCCTTAAAATGTGGACTGAAACACAGAATGGATACACGACTCTGCTGAGACCGGACCTTCTGCTGTGAAAGGCACACTGTGAAAGCTCAGGCGTTTGAGAACAAAACAAATCTAGACCCTGCCAGCTCTCTGATTCTTGGCTCTGTGGTTTCTGTGGGCCAAACTATCAATGTGGGTTGCCCTGTGGCACTGTCTTTAAGACCTGATAAAAGATTGTTGATAGCTGGTAAAATTCTCACAGTGTGTCTCAATAGGAACTAATGTGGCCCAAGAAGGTAAGGAAAATGGGCAGAGATGGTTCATCTTTAATCCTTCCCACTAGACAGCGAGGGGCAAAATACATACTGGGAGTGAGAAGTGCAGTTGCTGTTGGTGCGCATCCCCAGGGCATGCTGATCTGGATTTGGAGGAGGAGGAGGTGGAGCAAGCGGAAGAGGAGGAGTGAGGAGCTTGGAATATGCACCTATTCCAGGCACTGCGATGAGAGGTGCTTATCTCAAGGCCAGGCTCCCCAGGTGGACAGGCAGCCTCTAAGAATAACTGAGATACATAGTTATTGGGAGGGGGCTTGGAACAGGGGAGTTTCTCAGAGATGACGTGTGGACAGCTCTTGACCCCGTGATGCAACATTGGCAGAAGAGGGCCACCCAACTAGAGATGTGGCATGCAGGGAAGAGGTGTGTTGTTTACAGAAGGCCCATTCCAAAAGGTTGGGGCCCAAACATACTCATACTTTCCTGGAGGTAAAGACTGGATTGGGTCCAACAAACCACTCTGTGCATGCTCAGAGATTCATTCTGGGTGGTTGTGTTTCTGGAAAAGGCTTTGGTCAATAAAGAATTTTTGCAAGAAAGGTCTGAGGCTTTGAATGTGTGAGGGGAGGAAACCCAGCTCACATTACTAGGTAAGCAAGAAAAAAAAAAAGGAAAAGCCAGCAGGTTTGGGAACATAAACAAAACCCTGGGTACTTTTCTCACTTCTGGAGCTCTCACCATTTGGAGGACTGGGGTGCAAGGGTACTGTAATATATTATTTTACAGGGAAGGCCCTGCATTTCATGTCAGCCAACCAATTGTTTTGTCCCCCAGATTCTACAAACCGAGACTCACTCGATATGATTGAGCGAAGCCTGTGCTTAGTCTGCCTTGATAGCCCAACTGGAGAGGAGCTCACAGATACCAACATGGCCTTGCAGCTCCTACACGGAGGAGGCTACAACAAAAATGGGGCCAATCGCTGGTACGACAAGCCCATGCAGGTAAGGTGTTCCCATCACTGCCTGTGAGCTCTCATCTTGCAAGGCCAAACAGTGCCAAGGGACTAACCTCATGTGCATAATAACGACATGTATCTTCTAGCTGCAGAATAATACAGAAAAAGCAGTGAGGAGGGACTGAACTAGCTGGAGAAAGAAAACTGAGGTGGATCTTTTGCATTTTGAGGGGCAGTCTTCCTCAAGGGGAAAATTGCTCGGGAAAGATGGAAGGCTTGAATTATGATGGGGAAAGTGATGGTGACCTTAATGGAATCCACAGTTCCCAGTCTGTCTCCCACTTCAATATTTTCCCAGTCGTACCCTCCTCTAACCCACAGAGCTTCGCAGCTAAAACGCAACCCAAAAGGAAGAGAAAAGAGGGTCAGATTTGTATTCGGTATGCATGTGCTAATTTGAATGCATAGATGTAAATGGGGGGGGGGTATAACTACAATGCAAGATGTCTCCCCACAATGGGGAAGGCTGTGACCAAGACCCCTCTGTGCTTGTGCCGTCAGTAGCTGACTGTCAATGCTCACTTCAAGGACCATGCGTTGCTTTAACTGGACTTGGACCAGACAGGCCCTTCAAACAAAGGTGTCCCCATGTAAAATAGGACACTCAGCCACCCTTCTTCCTGGCCAGGGTCAGTTCTGTCCACAGCGGCGCATCAGTTGGCTCTCTTCAGTGGAAGCACAACCCTAAGACACTCCCCTCCTGGCCCCTAGACTGAGGGAAGATTGCCTTTGCCAAGACTTTTTACTACTCTGTTTGCGTATGTGGCAATCTGTGTCACCCTCCGCCTGGAGTGTCAAAATGTCGGCCATCTCCATATACAATTTCCATGCCTGCCCCTAATTTCCTCCACACCCATGAAGGTAGACCTGCACAATGGGCAGAAATATCTTCCAGATGAACTATTCTTCTCATCCAAATATTCAAATATTTGTCTGAAAGAAATATTTGTCCAATTGGCTAAGGCATCCAACATGAGAGAGGGGTCAAGGGGTTGCTTCAAGTCATTTTCCCCTTTCAGCCCACATTATTGCAAAGAGTGTGGAAATAGCACCTTTGACATCATTCTCTGAATACCTGGTGATCTTTTCTGGTATTTTAATCTCTGTAGTTTGATAAACATTTCTGGCAACCGGTGGCTTTGGCTAGGTCCATGAGGGCCATGTCTATCTGTAGTTCACACTTGCAGCCAGTTTAGTAGTTACATCTGGTACATCATCAGTCTCCCATCCAGTTCCAAGCCTTTGCAGTCATGGCCTTTTGCTCCTAAGTAGAGAGGGGCTTCTAAGCATGGCACCATGGCAGACAAGCAGGCTGGGAGATGGCCAATGAGTCTCACACGGCAAAATGGCTGGGAACACGCTTGCCCAGGCAATCCCTGGCAGTGCAGATGGGGACTGCATCCAACAGTTGGCACAGGGTGTTCAGCATGGCGCAGATCAGGATGCAATCAGCACCTGTCTGTGTGAGTAATTCTTGGTTCAATGAGGGAAATGACAAACAGAAGCCACTTCCATGTTCAGGTCACATGCAACATGAGCATGAATTGGGATGGCCAGGTGTCCTATTTTGCAGTGGATACTCCTTTGCTTAAAGTTTATCCCTATTTCATGGGCTGTCTGCTGCAAAGCTGTTTTAAAGTCAAAGAATCAGAAGAAGGGATCTTGAAGTTGTCCATCAGCTGTTGGTACCAGGATGACAGAGAGGGCAAGCACAAAGGTCAGTCTTTTCCACACTGAAGAGTTAGATTGAATTTGTATTTAAATTAGAAGCATTCTTTCCAAATTTGCACGTGTGTGTATCAATTTGCAGTGCAAATGCTATGCAAATGGATGTCCTCTGTTTTGACAATATGAAGGTAGATTCCCTAGCAGGAACTGGATGCAATGGGAGGAAGGACATGCCATGTCTATTCACATTCAGGCAACAGAACATCTCCAGCCAACACACTTAAGTCTTGCACAATTTCTGGCAGTTGCCTAGCCAGCTGCTGAACAGTAAGCGTGTATGTTGTATGGCGAATTATTGGCAATTATTCCATTTCTGCAGTCCCAGGAAGGCAGCAGAAACAGGAAGTCTAGTGAGCTATTTATGGAACTCCACATACTGTTATGCCAAAAATATCTTCCACAATTTTGGATGATCCTCACTCAATTTGATAGAAAAGAACTTGCTTTTAAAAAATGCTCAAAGGAAGCAAAACTTTCAAAGAACTTCTCGTGAGTGAGGCATGGGTTTCTCATTAACTGCGATTCCAAAAAGTAACACAACATGCTGCACCCACGCACACGCACACACTCTACACCAGCAGGGGACTTTGCAATACGCAAGTATTCCTTCCACACAGCAGCTTACCAGTCACGACAAGAGGCATTTTGCTAAGATTTCACACTCAGAGATATTTGGATGCCTGCAGGGGCTTCACTGACCAGGTGCCCTTGGATCTGATCCACCTCTGCATCACTCTGGTCCTCCCGCTCTGGCCAGGCAATGATGGAGATGGAGCAGCAGTGGTGCCTCAGCCCACTCGCTCGCTGCCTCTCTGCCTATTGGCCAGGGAAATGGCAGAAACGATGAAGCAACAATGGGTGCAGGCACAAGGGCTGGCGTCAGTGGCAACCAGCATGTAAACTCAAGGAGGGAAGCTTCCCATGGGGAGGGTCTTGTCCAAAGAGGCTCAAAAACCCGGAGCGGGCAATGTTCCAAAGCCATCGTATTCACACCACGTTTCTGTGAACTTCTGTTTCCCTGCTTAGTTTGTTGTGGGAAGAGACGGAGTCTGTGGGACGGTGTGTGAGCATTCCCCTTTTGAAGGAATCGTCCTGGTGCAGTGCATTGAACATTTGTTCAGACACATGTAAGTCTGCTCTGATCATGTGCCATATCTACACGCCACACCTCCTTCCTTCCTCTGTGGATCCTTGACATCATAGGCATGCCAGGTTTTTATTTGACTGGACTTTATCATTTGCTGTTGTAAAACAATGCAGTTACTGAAGCACAGTGAAATCCTTTTTGTTGCTGGTAATGATGTTGATGTTTATTAGAGAACGTACTAGACTTTTTCCCTTTCTTAATACAATGCAAACAATAAATCTTTCCCGCTCTCTCCCACCCCTATTCCTTCCACTTTACAATCCCCTCCTTCCTCCTCTCACCTTGTCTTTAAAGTGTATCATTTTTATGTGTATGAGTCAAATCATTGAGCAAAATTTGGATAATTAGTTACTTAGCAAAAAGAAAGCAATGATCAGCCTGCACTGGTTTTACTCTGTGTATAGTTCAAGAACACATTCCTATATAAATTGGAATTTATTTTCTTTTACTAATTTGGTACAAAGTACCTTTTCATGCTTGCCTATGGTCAAAGGAGCCCATGTGTAGACAGTTGTGCTTTTATCTGGGGTAGAATCCTTCTAAGAAGCAAGATTTGACTCTTGCAAATAATGCTCTCCTTTTAAAACACCAGCTGAGACTCCCCAGAAACATCCCCCCATACACACACCGAAAAGCCCAATCCCTGGCGCTGAAGGAAATGTGGCAAACATATGCATCTGCAAATGTGGCTTCTACACTTTTGCATGCTGGCAGCAAAAAAAAAAGCTAAAAACTATTTACCTTTAGCCACACAGAAGTAGCTATTCACGAAGATGCAGCTAAAATTAGGAGCAGATATCTCTGGCAGGGCTTTTAATCACTTCTCTGAACTCTGCAACCTATGCATTAATTGGATCTCTATAATCTTTTTTAAAAACAATAAACATTGCTACAACTACAGGAAGGAAGGTGCAAAGAAATTGGTCAGAGCAGATTCAGTGAGTGAACTTCCTGCTCCAAGAAGACTGAGGTGGAAATGTTCTCCAGAAATTCAGGGCCATTTGGCATCAGCAGCGGAAAAGCTTCAAAGGTAAGATGAATCTGTTTGATTCTCCATTTGCTGGCTAATACAGTGATATTAGGGTGGTAAGTCTTCATCAGTTTAAATGGCAATTTAATCCATTTAAACCTTAACTGATGAATGAGTATGAGTTTATTTTAATCAGTGAGGGGAGATAATCAACTGTGGCAGTGAGAGTTAAAAGCATCCTTGTTTCATTTGTGGAGGCTGTAGAGATCCTGGTGTGTCATTGTCAGACTGAATAAAGAAGAAGAGAGAGATGACCCACTAATGCTAGCTTTTGTTTATTAAATGATCTCATGCTTCTTTCAGTGTCTCAGAAAGTTCTCTGTACTAAATTCTAGAAAGGTGTAGATTTATTTAAGTTTTGTCCATTAATTCATTGATTGATTAGTCTAAAGGCAGTGGATGATTCATTAGAATGGGCAGTATCCAACATTCTTGGCATCAAATCAAACAGATTCATACTCTGGTCTCATCTAGAGTACTGCATTCAGTTCCAGGCACCACACTTTAAGCAAGATGTAGACAACCTGGAAAGGGTTCAGCAGAGAGCAACAACTGTCAAGAGCTAAGGTTCCTCCTTTCACACATTCAGATGCCACAGACCATTTCTTGCAAAATGGTCTTTATTGACCAGACCCAGAATGAATCTCTGAGCATGTGCAATGCAGTTCATAGAACCCAATCTAGCATTAACCACCAGGAACTCTCCTTCAGGAGGGGCCTTCCAAAAATGACCACATTTCCTCTCTGCATGCCTATCCTGTAATTGGGCCACCCTCCTCTGCTGACACCACATCATGGAGTCAAGTTGTCCAACTCATCCTTGTCTGAGAAGCTCCCCTGTTCCAAGTCCCTTCCTGCCAATTGTATTTATTTATTTATTCGTTCATTCCCAGAGACCGCCTGCCACCTGGGGAGTCTGGCCTTGAGGCAGACATCTCCTCTTCTCTCATTTCAATGTTTAGAAATAGCCCCATTCCAATCTCCGCTCTCCCCCCCCCTCCCACCCACATGCTTCTTCTGCCTCTGATTCTTTTTCTGGGAACCAGCCACCAGCCCTGTAGGATGTGCCCCCAAAGCAGCTCTCTTTCTCACTCCCAATAACAAACAAGGATGATTCAGGGACTGAAAACAAGCATAATGAAGAGAGATTGAAAGAACTGGGCATATTTAGCCTCCAGATGAGAGATACGACCGCACTCTTCAAGTCCTTCAAAGTTTGTCACAAGAGGAAGACAGGACCTCTTCTTGATCACCCCAGAGTGCAGGACGTGGAATAAAGGGCTCAAGTTACAGGAAGCCAGGTGCCAGCTAGATATAAGGCAAAAATTCCTGACTGTGAGAGCAGTGCAACAATGGAACCAGTGACCTAAGGGAGCTTGCGGGCTTCCCCACACCAGCCACATTCAAGACGCAACTGGACAGCCACCTGAGATGGATGGTTTAACTTGAAGTCCTACACTGAGCAGGGGGCTGGACCAGCTGTCCTCCTGGCCCCACCCCCAACGCGACTGTTCTGTGATTCTGTGATTAGACTTCTACAAACAATGGGTCGTTTCATGACCCAACCCTATATTGCGACAGTCCTGCCCCATGTCTATAGATGGTGCAAACCCTAAATTCCATCAGTGGTTTATTAACTGGGTGCTGCTGTACCAGACGGCAATCACTATATCATGACTGAGTTTCGGCATGCAGGGATCTTACTGATGCTTAATCAAACAGAATTCGGCAGCTTAGCTGCAATCCTAACCATCTTTCCAAATGCACTTCAGTACACATTTCAGCTGTTCCACCAAGCTCTGCCCGCAGGCCTGCTGCTAAGTCATGTAATGTCAAGGAGATGCACCACTCTTACCTAAGATGCCATACCTTACCTAAGAGCAGCCAGAAAGGGTGATCTGGATGAAACCAGGTGCTACCTTTCTCCCATGAAAATCTGCCACCTCGTTTAAAAATTGCATCTGTTGGCACAGTTCTTCAGGGAAGCTGCATCTAAACCTTCATTTAATCATAACATGCAGACAGAGAACTATGCCAAGGTGACTGGGACAAAAACTGAAGACAGGGCTGATTATGCCACATGCTCCATGGCGATGTAGTTGCTATTCTTATGGCTAGGCTCCTGTCACATAAATAACGGCTGCAAACATAACAGGCAGTCAATTGGATACGGCATTTAGTCTTCGCATTTTATGTAAAAGGTGGCCTCGGTACAGGCTCTGTGCTGTAAGTAGACCGTGGAAAAGACTAGTCTTGCAGAGTGTGAAAAGACAGGTGTGTCAGCAAACAGCCCATCTGGGGAGAAAATTTGAATGGAAGTATTAATTTTTGCATGTTCCCATACTACTGCTACAAAAGTTGCTTCTTCTGAAAGCCATTGTCCATTTCATGACAGGTCCCAGCTTGGATCTGAATGACCTCTATGACATCTGAGGATTTGGGGGTGCAGATGAGGACCAAAGATCTCAGCTGCTTTGGAGTATATCCCAAGAATAGTTGTCTCAGTGATGTGTGTTTTAAAATGACACAAGATCTTCCCAATTTCACTCCTGGTTTTGTGCTCATTTCCTAGGCTGGCGAAGAACCTAGATCTTCTTGTGTATAAATTTGAAAACTATGGGAAAGAATTTATCAAGAAACAGAAGATGAGTCCAGATGCGTATATCCAAGTAGCACTACAGCTGGCTTTCTACAGGTATGTGAAGCCGAATCCAAGTTCTGAGATGGGCAACTCAATCTCAAATGGATGGGCAACTCAGTCTCAAAAACGGGGCTTCCAATCAGTTTCCCATGCACTAGCTTTCCAGTTCTCTTCACTGGGCAAGATGATATAAAAAGCCATTTCTCTGCCCCCATTCCCAGCAGCCACCCCACCCAACCTGTGCCAGTAAAAGTCTGGAAAAGAGTATCTCAGCATACAGGCAGAAATTTAGTTTAGTGCATAAGAACCCAGCCATATGTTCACCTTTAAGTGAATCGATATACCACTGCAGTGGTGTGAATGATTTCATAATGGTAAATTGCAGAAATGGAGGGACCTGCTATGGGATCTTGCTCCTCCCCACACTGTGGTCCTTATCCACATTTCCACCTTTGCTGCCCACTATTTGCTCCAGGACAAACATCCCCAGTTGTATTTCTGAAATGAAGTACAAGCCACTGTCTTGTCCATCACCACGGACAGCAGCATTTCTTGAGCCCTGCCCATGTTCTCTTTAGAACTACCTCCCTTGTCTCAACCTTAGAGGAATTTGGTAGGAAACCCAGATTCTGCCATTGCACTTCATTTGTGCTGCCCTAAAACTCAGAGCTGCGGGCAGGATCAGTCCCTCCATTTCTGGCATGCGATTAGTGTTTAATAATTGCAGCACAGAGAGGATGAGGGCAGGCAGAGAAGAAAACAAAACAGCCATGAATATTCTTACCCCCGCTCCCCATTAACAAGCAGAGAGTAATAGGGCCTAATGAGCAAGCACACTGAGAGTATGGATACAAATTATCCACTTTGTCATTAAAATCTGAATAGCAGGCAACGTCCATGCTCAACATCATGGATTTAACTGGGAAACTAAATGAAAGGAACCCAGAGTCTTTTTTTTTTAAATCAGCTTTATTAAAGAGCAAATGTTTGTCAATGTAGCATTAAAAATGGTAGGAGGATATGAAAACAGAGGTTAAAAAGGACTTTCCACAGAGTTATGTTGTTGAGCTGCACCTCTGTTAATCTGCTGCAGTTGCAACATCAACATTATTTTAATGGATATGAGAAACGTATTACTAGGTTTGGTTTGGGGGTTTGGTTTGGGGTTTGTTGTTATTCAACAGGGGAGGCAGGAAGGAAAATGGTGACGTGCATAACATTCCGATGTTCTGCACTGGTGTGGTGAACCTCAAGGGGTTAGAGCCATTCCTGTGGCTGGGATGCACCCTCCCTCCCTTGCACTCACTTGGCCCACATACCCACAGCTACACACACATGCCCAGGGACTCCCCATACAGGCATCACCTTCACACCAACCATCCACACACTTCTTTTTCCGCCAAGGATCCGAACTTGAAAGGGCTTGCTCTTCCACACAGTTGATCAAAGCATAGCCTGAACATACATTTAGTCTTCTCAGGAAGCACTGCTGCTGAAGCCTCTCTCTGGCAAGAGGATCTTCTTTCCATGCCACAGATGCTCACATATCCGCTTGTGGATTGGCAAAACAGTGGGCCAAAGAGGTTGCTTTTTATAGAATGATGTCCTATGTTCATTTATACGGATAGATAAAAATTTAGAATCAATTGCTACCATCTAAATAGAAATACACCATAATTCCCCATATGGGGGAAGGCAGAGACAAGGTGGCCTGTGGGACTATGCAGACTTCTGTCCAGGAGGCAACAGTTTGTGGGCAGAGTCAAGGCCTTTGCTCTCCCTTCTTTGAGTTCCTTACCTTTCAACCAGATGTCAGTAGACCATCCTTCAGAGAAGCGTCTGCTATGAACTGGAACACAGCATGGCCATTCCACCTTCCCCAACAGGGCTTGACTTGTCTACTCCAAAAGATGTAATATGGTGGATGCATTCCATAAAGTGGCATAACATGGTGGGTGCATCCTACAAGCTGATATCAAAATTCAAAGAATGCTTCAGTCCCTATTCGTCTCGCTTGTATACCCTGCAAGCAGTACAGAAATCACAGCTTTCCTTGTCTTGTTTCCTTGTGGTCCAGGATGGGCAATTTGTAGTCTGTAGGCCTGAACATTTTGAGGGTCACAGCTCCCATCAGCCCCAGTCAGTACAACCCATAATGAGTGATGATGCAAGTTGGAGACCAAAACAAGAATGTTTAGCAACTCCTCGGAGGCCAGCCAGAAAACAATGCTTGTTTCTTTTGATTAATTTAAAGAATGTTAGTCATCCTCTTGTGCAAAGGATGTATGGAGCAACAGTGTTGTTATGGGCACGTATTTGGTGATGTTATGGCAAATGGTTCTGCTCTACTTATGCTCAGACATAAACAATTCATTTCCTAGTGCTGCACAACCAAACTGAGTTTGACCATATGTACATACAACAATCCTGGTATTTCACAAAAGAGATGGAGGGCTGCTAAGCCAATCTTTTGTAAATAATTTTATTAGTTTAACATTGCATTATTATTGTTATCACTATGCGAACAAAATCAGACTGCAAAATGGAAGCCCAGGTAGGTCATCCATCTTTCAGAGCCATAACACTATACATTTTTCTACCCAATTTAGATTGCATGGGAAACTGGTCCCTACCTATGAAAGTGCTTCCATACGCCGATTTAAAGAGGGAAGAGTTGACAACATCCGGTCTGCAACTCCTGAAGCTTTAGCTTTTGTAAAAGGAATGACAGATAAGAAACCACCTCTGCGGGTGCGTGGATCTTTACCACCACCTCCGTCTTCTTTGCTTTGGGGTTGACAGAGGCCTAGACTTGATGGAATGGTGCCTGCTTATGGTGGTTGTTGGGAGGGGGAGGTGGGACATGGACATCCTTAAGCAGTTCCACCTTCTTCTCACCCTTCTGCTTATCCTTACCTTTTGGGCTCAATCTATATGGCAGCCCAAAGGAGGAGATGGCTGCTAGGCATGTTATTGCTTACCTTTTCAGAAAGGTTACATCAGCCTCTGCCAACCTGGTGTCCTCCAGATCCATTGGGACTATAATTCCCATCATCCTCCAACTGGCAGTGCTCTCATTTTCCTGCTCCAAGTCAGACCAGAGCAGGTGCTGCTCCCCTCACAGAGAGAGACAGAAGTAAAGCTGCAGGTGTACACATACATCTGGCATTTAGCAGGGAGTGAACCATCGGGAGCAGTCATTTTGTGCAGAAAAATGGCAGACAAAAGAAGTGTTAAGCACGAAGACAGAATGAGGGAGGGAGGGGGAGCAGTCAAAATGCAGCCTCCCAAAGCTGGTTTTCTTAGCAAACAAGCGTGAGTCGAAACACATTTATAATGAAGCATGTGCTCTACCCCTAACTAAAGCAATTGAATATTGCTCAATTTACAAATGACCTCTGCAGGGAGCTATAAGGGCTGGTACTGGGCCCCTTCCAATGATAATTCTTCTATGGTAATTATCCCATGTCTCCTCTTAGCATTTAAACTCATTAAACTCTTCCAGTGGAAAAAATGCAATATATTTTAGTGTTCCCATAGAACATTTCTGCTTCCTTTACAGTGGGAGAGTACCATTTTTCACAGACTCAGAGGTGTCCCAGAGCATTGTCACTCTCCCTTCCTTGTCCAGATGCCACCTCTGGTGAAAGAGGTTTTGGGCATGATTTAGGAACACCACCCCACACTGTGAACCGGGTAAACAGACAAGCCGGTGGGATGTGTGTGTTGTGCACCATGGTAGAAGTGCAGAAGTCATTCCTCCTTGGACCATGGGAAAAGATGGTCATCCTTCTCCAGTTTCAGGCTGGAACAACAGCACTTTCAAATGTGTCAAGGCTCAGCGTGAGTCGGGGCAGAGGTGGGCAATTTGTGGTTTGCCCGTTCTTTTGGACTACCATTTCTATCATACCTCACCATGCTGGCTAGGGATTGGAGGCCAAAACTTCTGGCGGTCCATACCTCTGGAGATGCATCCTTATTTCAAAATAAGCACAGTTAATGCATATGGATATGCAGGTTTTTCTCGACCTGGGAACTGCAGTGTCAGCTCCAGGTTTTTGAGGACCCATGAGCAAGAAGCCCTCAATGTCACCCCCTCAATGAGTCTAGATTCTCACCACCATTATCTGCTCTTGCTCCTCGTCCTCTTTCTCAACCTCTTCTTGATGCTTGAGAGGCAGGGCCAAGCAAGCTGCCGCCTCCTCACCACTGCCCTTGTCTGGCCCAGAGTGAGAAGCACATGAGCCAACAGGTTGCACTGATGCAGAGGAGGAGATCCAGCAGCTTCTGATCAGCAGGTTGCTGCTAGATTTGTGGGCTTTTGGCCATTGCCCAACCCTTCCTGCCCTTAACACCAACCCAGAGGAACCACATTGCAAAGTTTGGAGAAGCGCAAAATGTAGAGGATGCTCCTGCTTTGATCAGGGCAGGTGGATCAAGTCTGGTCACGAAGAAGGAATTCCACAAGCATCCCTACGTAGAAGTAAGTCTAGCAACCTAGATATACTGTGCTTATGCCTGAGTAAACACGCATCCAGTTACGCTGCTAAATAGCCTCATGACACATCGTTTTGTGCAATCAACATTCAATTAAGGAAGTAGTTCTAAAAACATTATGCTTCCACACTCCCTTTTCTTTGTTCTTTCTTCTTTTCCTACAGGACTCTGAAAAAATGCAACATTTTAAGGATGCAATAGCAGCTCAAACCAATTACACTATTTTGGTAAGCAAAATGCTATTCCATTTTGATTTTTAAAAATTTTGCTTCTTGCTTCTTAGGTTAGGATTAAGGCATTTCTGTCTCCCTGCAGCTACTGGTGTCCATTGATATATCTGAGATATATCAGATACATACCAAGCAGTGAACACACCCAGTCTCCTCAAACTCCAAGTACTCTTGGCCCCTTGCAAGCGAATTGCCCAGGATCCCACTGGGGTCCTCGTGTTGGGCTTCTTTGCAGCTCCTCATGTCTGCAGGGAAGCCCAGCCAAGTTACGAGTTTCGCTCAGCACATTGCATGTGACCTGGGCATTAAATGAGCATTAGCATCACCAATAATGGGGTGAAGCTCTTGGTGAGATGCCCTCCTTGGACCCCGGGACCCTCTGTTTCTATTGAAGCATCTGGTCCTGTATGTTGGCATGTTAATATGCAGCAAAGCTTTGTGCTTTGGAGTTAGGGAAGGAGCCAGTTGGAATGAAGAAGAGAGGGAGGGAGGGAGGAGACTTAGGGATTGAGTTCTAGCAGTTGACCAAAATGTTCTACCAGGTTTGATTGTTCATATATCCTACTTACTATCAAAGCAGCACTCTTGATAATTGTGTAGCTCATTGCTCAGATATGAATAAGGACCAGCCTGCTGCCTGAAATCAAATCAGGGTGGTCAACATCGGACTCAGCCCCTGCGGCTGTGCATGAAAAGCTTTTGGTCTCCAAAGATCGACAGACAGTTGTGTTGGTGTCCACGTTTCAGCTGCTCATTCCTGATGTGTCCAGTTTCTGTTCAGGGTGCAAAAGCAAGGCAAAGCAACTGGAATTGTCCCTCTGGCCAATTGACAACCATAAATCAAACAGCATTACACTGAGGAAGGAAAAAAAATGCACATTTCAGGAGTGGGGGTGGCACAGTGACCCAAACCACTACTTAAGCTGATTTAATTATCCCTCCGTTAGGGAAGCAATGCTGCTAGATTAAACATGTAGCCTGAAATAATTTAATTTCTCATGTTCCACCCTGGCCCTCGTGCATTGACTTACCCTTGATTTTGTTAGGCCAATCTCAGTCTCTTCCTCTTCAGACATGACATTAATCTAGGTTGGAAAATGTCATTGCTAAGAGCCTTATAAATCATGTTGGATACCAGCAAAATATTTCCATTGATCTTCCAGTCCACTCTCCTTGACTGGGGGAAACCATGGTGATCACGCCTAGGTTTTATTATGATCCTTGCTCACAACTCACGGAAGATGCACACCAGTGGATTCTCCCCCAGGCCACATATTTTCCCAATGAACCATGAAAGGTTATCTACTCCTTGTCCTTAGCATCGCCCATCTGCTTAGATATTAGCAGAGATAGGGCCCATTTCGCTTGCCAGAGACTTATTCATTCAGCAAAACTGTGGTGAATCTGTAAGTCCAGATTTTGCCCTGCCATAAACTAACCAGGTGAGCAGGGGCAGGTTTGCATTTCTCAGCTTCAGTTGCTGCTCTGGCTGATGGACTCAATTTTGCCCTGCAGGATCAATGGCACGTTAGTGAGATACAATGAGGAAGAAAGCCCTAATAAGCCCATGGGTCCCATTCCTCCATTGCATCCCCATCTCTGGGGCTTTGATGTATCCTGGGGGGCAAAATGGTGAGATCTGCAGTATTCAGGCATCCCAGTCGAGAGACTCTAGAACAGGGTGTGGAATGCAGTGCAGGTAGGACTCCAGCCAAGCTTGCCCTGTGACCTCTGCAGGTGGAATGACTTTAGTGGGTGGAGATGTGCCCCCATCTTTTGGTGCCTTTGGCTCAAGCACACTGGATTGGGGCCCAGATTTGTTACACACAAGTTTTGCACAGCCAGGGGATCCCCTCCTCTGCAAAGCTACTCTGACAGAGCCTCAGCTGGGGTGAAGGGGTCTCAGGGCAGGCAAAACACTTAGCAAGCCGCTCACACCCCTGATTAGGAAGGCAGGTCAGGTCGTCTGCTAAGGAATCTCTGTTATCTCTGTTGAGTGGAGATTACACTGTCACTGTAACTGCTGACTGTAACTGAGAGCCAGTGTGGTGTAGTGGTTAAAAGCACAGGACTGGGACTCAGGAGACATGGGTTCCAGTCCCCTCTTGGCCATGGAGCTCACTGGGTGAGTTTGGGCCAGTCACAGACTCTCAGCCCAACCTCCCTCAAGGGGTTGTTGTAAGAATAAGAAACCCCTTATAAGACAAGGGGTTGTCTTATAAGAATAAGACAGGAGGAGAGAATTTTGCAAGCTGCCTTGCATTCCTTGAAAGGAAAAGTTCAGGACAGAAATATAATAAGTAAATAAATTTCTCCACTTCAGGCACTAAGCCTGGGACCTCAGGGGAGAAGGAGCATTGCCTGAGCCCCACAGGCCAGATGAGCTGATCTGGCAGCTCCAACCTTCCTAGTGAGTTGAAGACTCCCCTTCCCTCCTGTAAGGGACACTGTTGCACTTCATCAAAAAAGATGGGGCTGTTATATTGACCAGTGACTCATGGTGGAACCATCTGACATGGGAGTGGTTCCCATTCCTTCCAAGCACCCTCTTCACCCATTATGGGAGGTGAATGTGTGAGCTTTCCATCTGCTGAAGGTACTGCAGAAAAGAGCATCCCCTGGTCCTTGCACTAGATTATTGCTGGACCACATGCAGGACACAGGTAATTCCATTGACTGATCTTCCAGAAACCCACCTCAGCTGAGGAGATCAAGCAGAATGGGACTTCAGTGAGCCCTTTTGGTAGGGTAGCTGTCCTGTCAGCAGCAGGGTTCATGGAACCAGGAATGGTCATTCTCAGTCCATTTGCAGTCCTAGAAATCACACAGCTCTTCTCTTCTGAAAGGATATCTCCACAATTACTACTTAAACAGGTCATGTTGCTTTACACCGATTTGGTGGGTTTCCATAGACAAATCAACATAGAAGCCATTAAACTCAATGGAAGATGGGTCACCTTCCCTTCATCCTGACCTTTGGTAGGATTATAATATGCTGAATTCTGCCTTGAATACCTGAGAGTGGACAAGGTGAGATTTGGAAGTGCTTTGTGGAGTTGGTCATCCTTAGTCTAGGCCCACTGATATCAATGGAATTTAAGTTAGTAAAGTATAACTTGAATCCCATTTATTTCAATGGTCCTAGTCTAAGGATGACAGGGTCTGCAACCATCTAACTGTTAGGTATGGTTCTAACACTGACATGCTACTCAGAAGTAAGAGGAGTTTGTTCCCAGGTAAGTGGAGTTTAAGCGGCAAAGAATTGGGAAACTGGAAAAATGAGAATTTCTAACCACTCCAACCAAGTAGCAAAGCTCTAAGCTCAGTGGACCAACATCTATAGGATGTATGTGCAATTTACACAGGTTCCCTTGCATCCTTTTCACTTTGTTATCCTTTTGCACCTAGGCTATTACAGGAATGGCAATAGACAATCACTTGCTTGCACTGCGAGAGTTGGCCCGTGAACACTTCAAGGAACTGCCGGACATATTTACCGATGAAACATATTTAACAAGCAATCGATTTATCCTCTCCACCAGCCAGGTGAGTGGAATTCATGTTGGGATTAGTCATAAAAAGACTCCCCATTATTCTCCCTGTGACAGACATTATGAATCAGTGACAACCTTTGATGTAGTTTGGGGAGGTTTGTGAGTCCAACAGCTCTCAAGAAAACCTTAGGTTCTCATTCATTATGGTAAATGATGAGCCCCAAGAGCTAGGCAAACAATAGTACACAGGTCAGATGCAGTCCCAGAATAAGAACATAAGAAATTCCCTGTTGGATCCAACCAAACTGCACTTATCTTCAGCATCTTCTTACACAGAGTGGCCAACCAAATGCCTATAGGACAGCTGCAAGCATGATGGGAAAGCCATTCCGTTTTTCCCAGTGTTTTTCGCCAGCAGCTGATCCCGGCAGTAGGAACTGGCTGTTGTGACTAGCACCCATTGGCAGCTACCAGATAAAAAAATATTATCCAATGTCTGGAGCCTGTGGCCAGTGCATTGTGCTAACAAGCATTTGTCTAATTTAAGGCTCCTTTGATGGGGAGCTTAAGCATCCTTTGCTTAAGCATCCCATTTATGCCCCAAGTAACACCTACAAGGAGGCACAAAGTGACATTTTTCCCAGTGGCCACACATTAAATTTGGACTACTTTCCTCACACAGCAGAATGGGCAACTTCCAGGGATCAGAAGGCATGTGGGAGGTGTGCTGAGCTCTCCCCACTGAATTTCCTGCCACTGCCCCCTTAGCTGCAGAATTTGCTGGAAATTCTGCAAGGAAGCAAAGCTTCCCAGAGGCATCCAGGAATGGCCCCTTCACACCTTGTTTCCCTGTAAAATTGCTGTGGATTTTATTGCCATGGTGGCAACAGTGGCAGTGGCTGCAGGGAACGTGGGGAGGGAGGAATGTGGATGATAGGCCATGTGTTTTCCACTGCTGCCCTAGAGAATATATGCATCTTAAGGAAGCACATGCACCTTACAAGGTGCTTTTGTTCAAACTGGCTTTTGATTGTCACAAGAATTGAATATTTAATTTAATTTCTTTGGGCTATGTACAACTGCACAGCTTAAGGCCATTTCAGAATAAGCTAAGGAATATAGTCAAATATGGACACTAAGAACCACTAAAATAAAACATACTGAATAGAGAACATATTACCTGCGAGCATAATTACATATCTAACTTCACAGAATGTTCAAACTGAACTCAAGATGGCAGGATCTTAAAAGCAAAGCATAATAAATGTATATTGTGCTTTGTGAGGATAACATGAGGCTATGCTGACCGCCCTGGGTTCCTCAAGAAGGAAAAAGTGGGATATAAATGCAATGCAATGATGACAACGATATTCCACCCTTCCTCATATTCAGTTTCAGAGTGATGTGCAAAATAAAACCAGTGCAATAAAACATAGATGATAAAAGCAGTAGACAAAACTTCAACAGGACCAATCAATGATCAATCATTTTTTTAATGTCTAGGTAAATAAAAGGGTTTTTTCTAGCACGTAACAGATAGCCATTCAGGTGCCAGGAAAACTGCTTTGGGGAGGCATCGTGTTGCTTACCTCAAATCCTACATATAGTAGGCTATAAATCTGTTTAACTAAGTGCAGTTCTTGCTTTGGTCTCTGTTATGCACGTCACCTATTAGGGTGCCATCTTCCAAATCATCTAAAAAGAGAAAAGGCATTACCTGAAAGAAAGGGAGGGAGAAAGAAATTGCACTTTGCATAACCATTGCACAAGTTAATTCATGCGCATTGATGCAAATTTAGAAATATGGTGTTTAGTTGCTAAGTCATGCCCTACCCATCGTGACCCCATGGACAACACTCCTCCAGGCCTTCCGGTCCTCCACCATCCCCCGGAGTCCACTTAAGCTCACACCCACTGCCCCAGTGACTCCATCCAGCCACCTCATCCTCTGCTGTCCCCTTCTTTTCCTGTCAATTCTTCCCAGCATGAAGCTCTTCTCCAATGAGTCTTTCCTTCTCATTAGGTGGCCAAAGTATTTGAGTTTCACCTTCAGTATCCGTCCTTCTAAAGAGCAGTCAGGGTTGATCTCCTCTAGGACTGACAGGTTTGATCGCCTTGCGGTCCAAGGGACTCGCAGGAGTCTCCTCCAGCACCACAATTCAAAGGCCTCAATTCTTTGGCGCTCAGCCTTCCTTATGGTCCAGCTTTCACAGCCATACATTGCAACTGGGAAAACCATAGCTTTGACTATGAAATATTAGAAATATTACTCCAATTCAAAGAGAAGAACAGTACCTCTCACCATAGTGTGGAAGACTGTGAAGCATCTGCTTTTTTCACATGCCAAGCACTCATGGATAATTGGTCTTTGAGTTTTTCATCTTTAAACTGGTATTGAACAGGGCAGCCTTTCAAACAGAAGATTTTCCCCTGTAAAAAAGGTCACAAGGCTACCAATCACCTGCTTTTACAATATTTCTATTGAATGTTACTGCTGTATATGGTAAACTGCCTTGGAGAAAGCATGATCTTAAAAGGTGACAAAAAGCTATATTAAATAAACACATAAATAGTCAATTTTATTGCAGCTGCACTTCAAATACAAAGGCCTGGATGAGTTCTGTCTTTAAAAGGATGTCTGCAGGGTAAGCGGGAAACTCCTAATGCAATGCACAAACATAAAAAAACCTTCATAGGTAATTTGATCTTGTCATGATGTCTATGGGTTTTCAGACATGACTGAGTGTAACCAGAATACCACTGCATAAATTCTCCAAGAAATCATCCGTGGGCAAAAGGAAGTGAATCTGAATAGCTTTATGGCCATTGGCTATCACGCAGCAAATTTATCTGACAATTCTGGGACTCTATTAGTGGGACTAATGGTCTATCCTGTGCCATTAAAAAAACCCAGTGCCATTTTTGAAAGATTGGGCACCACAATGTCAGGAATGTATGGATGTTTTAACAAACAACAAATTCTTTTCAGCAGGAAGCACTTGTGCCCATTACAGTGTTCTGCTAAAAATCAGAGCTTTAATTGCAGGAAAAAAGAATTCAGGTCATAGATTACACCAAAATAGACTGATCCCTTCCTCCTGATTATAAAACTTGGAGATGTATATAAGCCCTTCCAATAAACTAAGTGTAATCTCAAGAAATATTCCATATTTAAAATTGTAGGAATAAGACGGCAGCCCCTCATTACCAGTACAGTTCTAATTAAAAATAAACAATCAGAAAACCTTCCACATTTAAAGACCACCTAGGTTTTTTTTCTCAAAACTGAAGAACTCTACAAAAGATTCTTCAGGGTGCTGGGCATGTCATCTGATATTTAATAAGGATAAATGGCATGGCATTTATATCTACTTACACTGCAATGTTTTACATAGAAAGAGATCCAAATGAATTAAGATCCATTACTTCAAATGGGACTACTCTCAAGATGACTGAGTCAGGATTCAACTGAGAAACTTTAGAACAGGGGTGGGCAACTTACTGGATTGCAGTTCCCATTATCCCTCACTACTGGCTCTGCTCACTAGGCCTGATAGGCATCTAGAATATCTGGAGCTGAACAGGCTGGGGGAGACTACATGAAAATATACCCAAATACCTTAAATTAGGCTCAAAACATACATTTGCCTAAATCTGTGTCTATGTTGCTTTCTTCACTCTAGAGCAGGCACAGTAAAAAGTGAGTTTCCTGGTTAGCCCAGCTCATGTTCTTACACTTCCTCTAGAACCAAACAAGGGAGGGCTTGGACCACATAGCTGCTAAGCTTACACGTAGCACAATATCCATTCTTGGCCCTAGTATGCATATAAAAGGTTTCAGGCCATGGCCACAGCCCAGGAGATGTTACTCTCACCTAACTTCTTTTGAGATCAGTGAGATGCCAGCTAAGAACCTGCTTCCACATCCCACAGTGAATTTCAACATAAGGCTAAGTTAGGAATATAAGAAAGTGTCTTTTCTCAAGGCAGACCATTTGGCCCTCTGGTTCAGTATAGCCCACATCAACAGGCAGTGAATTTGTGTGATCCCAGATGGGGATCTTTGTTTCCCAACTATCTGGAGATGTGAAGGACCAAACCCAAGACTTTGTGCAGTGTCAGTATTTGAGAAGCTTAGCATGCAAAGCAGCTGAATATTTTGGCTGGCCTAAATATTTTGTATGCAATCTGTTCAAATAAGAAATGGAAATTTGGCCAAAATAGAAGAATGAGCATGCTCAGGGGAACCCCACATTCTGCATGAGTATAAAGCATTTTTTTAAAGAAATCACCCAAGTGGAAGAGGGGACAAAGCAAAAACAAAGAAGAAGCCCAGCAAAGACTGAGCACATAAAACATCCCCAAGGCACAATAAAACATTGCATCTTGACTGAAAAAGGAAACTGAAATTCAAAATCTCTGTGAATTTACTCACTTGAATTACTAGGTCCCATTATCCCCAACCAACATGGTCAGGAATTACAGGAGCTGCATTCAAAATTGGACCATCCCACACTCCATAAACAATACTGCCCTCTACTTTTCTCATCAATTCCCAGTTTTACATTGTTGTAATTTAAAAAGTGGGGGTAGCGGGGAATCAACCCTGACTGCTCTTTAGAAGGCCAGATACTGAAGATGAAACTCAAATACTTTGGCCACCTAATGAGAAGGAAGGACTCCCTGGAGGAGACCCTGATTCTGGGAACGATAGATGGCAAAAGAAGAAGGGGACGGCAGAGAATGAGGTGGCTGGATGGAGTCACTGGGGCAGTCAGCGTGAGCCTTAGGTAGACTCCAGGGGATAGTGGAGGACAGGAGAGCCTGGTGGAATGTTGTCCATAGGGTCATGATGGATTGGGCACAACTTTGCAAACAAACAAACAAAACAATTAAAAACATTTTAATCTTTGTATTTTTATCCTATACTGCCTTGACCACTCAATGAGTGAATGGACAATCCAAAACTGTTCTCAATAAATAGTAGACAGAGGAGAGAATGTCTGGCTGGCTGGTACTCTGAGCAGGAGCATTCCTGGCCTGTAAAATTTTGTTACAGTTCCACAACGTAGGATCACAGTTTTGCATCTCTCATTCTCTCACACCAAGAAAGCAAGCTGTGTCACACAAAATCATTCTGTACAATCACCAGGGCTCTCTCCGTGTCACTGCCCTCTCTTTGTTCCCTGAATCAGGTTCCAACCACCATGGAAATATTCTGCTGCTATGGGCCAGTGATCCCAAATGGCTACGGAGCCTGCTACAACCCGCAGCCGGAGCACATACTATTCTGCATTTCCAGCTTTAAAGAGTGCCAAGAAACATCTTCCAGCAAACTTGCCAAAGCTCTGGGCGAAAGCCTCATGGATATGAAGGAGCTGTGCCAGAAAAGCCATTCCGTTCATGCAAGCTCCCCAGCTAAACAGGATGTCCCCTCAACCTCTCAGCCGGGTCCTAAGCACTAATGTCAGGTGTTCTCCACAACCCTTACCTTCCTTCAGTTTTGAGGATGCTTCTTAAGGCAAGACCAGTGCTGCTGTGCCAAGATGACCTGAAAACGGAAGCCTATTTAGGCTGGGGGAAGATGGCCATTTTCCTTTCGCTAGGCTTTTTCTACCCTCATTTATCACAGCCGTAGCTTAGCAGATCTTCCGAAGCTGGCATTTCAGTTCTGCATGAAATGAATGCACTATTTATCCATCGGAGAAATGGACTCATGTACAAGTCATCGCTCAGTGTGAGTTTAGAAATAGCCAGTTCACAATAAGCTGCATTTTAGGGAAGGCTGGGAGAGCATCCGGGGCAACATATCGCTGGAGCCCACAATGCGAGGGCTTGGAAGACTCATATTCTCTAGGAAAGCTCCCAGCAACCTGCACTGCCCCCACATACACACCACACTCACACACACACACTGACTTTAGGATTGTGGGTCTGCCTGGCTGCTGCATCAAGGGTGACGCAACCGCAACCCGTGCACCATCGCACGGAGCTCCACAGAAGAAAGGAAGGATGCAAGTATTTAATGAAGAACTTAGGGTGGTTGGAGCTACGATCCAAAACCACATGGCAGGACATGTTTTGGAACATGGAGCAAAGCCCTGGTGCACATGCATTCATCCAGTGAGCCTCTAACCCCCTCATCTTCTTTAAGTTGTTAAATGTCAGCGGGGAAACTGCTGAAAATGCTTCGGTCCTCAGGTGATACTGCAATTTTAGAGATCCATTTTCTGCACTGTGAATCTTCATTTGCAGTCCTTCTTGCAATGGGTGCAATGCCAAAAACAGCTGTGAGTTCAGCTCCGCTGGAGGCACCGGTCCCGGAAACAGTCCGTTTGGCCTGTTTTGAGGATTCGGTGGTTCTTGTGAGGGCAGGTTCCACTGCCCACCTGAGACACGGCACCCATGGGGATGCTTGCAGCCATTTCAGAAGTGCCCTGCCAGATGACACGAGATGCTGCTGCGAGGGAAGAGGCCCAGTGTTCAGGTGCCAATGGAAATCTAAAGAGCCTCTCCGGGAATAGCTGAGCGGTGCAGCGCACGCTTTCCATGCGCGGACTGTCTCAGATTCACTCCCGGCACCTCCAGGAGGGGCTAGGAACTATTCCTGCATTAACTCCTGGAGTAACACGGCCAGTTGGTGTAGACAGCTTTCAGCTAGACCAAGAGGGGATAGCTTCTCCTTTACTCTGGACCCAATCCAGCCCACGCAGGGCCGGGCATCCTCTGTGAGCCCTTCCATCCCAAGCCTCAGCCCAAGAGTTGGCTGTGCAAAGGGTCCTCTGTGTAGAAAAATTAAGGGTTCCCCTGCACTGCTCCTTGCACCTCTGGCAGAGGGAAGAAGCAAGCGATGGAGGACACTGCACCAGGCGGCTCTTGCAATGGCAGGCCGAGTCCGTTCCTGGGCAGGGCACGCCCAGACATGGTGTGAGCAAACCTGCTCGGCTGGGGCTTGCCGGAGCCAGCTTTTACAGTCCCCACGGAGTCTCTTTCCTGAAGCAGACAGAGAGCCCCAGACTTCCACCTCTCTCTATGCATGCAGGGATCCAGAAAGGGGCAGCAGGACAGATGGGAGAGGAAAGGCGTGGGGGTAAGGCCCTGCCCGCTGGATATTGTCAGCCCCACTGGATTAGTTGGGGCAGCAGGCTGGTGATCTGCCCCCCACATAAGTAGTGGCTGCCCTCCCCATAGCTTAATGGACCACTCAGTGGCCTGTCTTCATATTGGTGATCTTCCCATATCCTCTTGATTGCACTATTAACGTAAATAACCTACTGCACTGTTTTTATTGTTTTTCCCACCATTACTGTCAAGCTTAAGACCATTTAGGATACATCCCTGTAGGATTTTGACAGCTTGCATTTTTTCAATGGTTGATGTAGCTGCCAAACTCAACATAGGGATGAGTTGTCCTACATAACATGAATCTCTGCTTTTTCTTGGACTGCTTCCTGCACATCAGGTTTAATGCTAAAGCACTGATAAAGCAGCACAAGAAGCACCAGGCATGCCCAGCTGACTGATTTTGGCTCCTGGAATGGACACACAGCTTCATCATAAGCCTGGGTTGCAGTAAGAACTTCAGAGTCAGGAATACATGTTCAAGCACCATCGATTTGTGCCCAGTAGTTTCCGGTTGAATCAGTGTCTGTGCACAATATATGTCACTTGGAGAAAATCCACATCCATGTGCTGCTAACCAACACATTTCTGCACATATATCTGTGCATCCTTCCGTGAACGTGTCATGTGCATTGTAATAACTCTGTCGGGGTTTCGTGTGCATGTGGATTTCAGGGAATCCTCAGTACATGATCACGTCATTTAAAGTGAGCTGCATTTGGGTGGTGCAATGCATTGTTATTCTGCAGCTTTGAAATATTTAACCACTGCATGTATCTATGCAAACTAATACAACCTGCACACAGGTGTTCAGCTAGAGGACAGCAGAATGGGCCGTGCATACTAAGTACTTTGAGACTATTAATGGAAGGGTCGAATTTGGAAAATGTTATTTTCTGTGAGGTTTGAGGTATCCCTTTAAATAAAGGAGAGCCTTCACCAATCTGGTACCAGCACCACCACCCCCCACGTTTTGGATGATAGCTCCCATCAGCTCCAGACAGCATTATCCATCATCAGTCATGATGGGAAATGTAGTCTCATATCAGGTGGACACCAGGATGGAGGAAGACTGCAAAGGAAATATTCTAACCTGAACGTACTTTCCCTGCACGGTCCTAACCGAGGGAACAGAAAACAGTGCCTGCAAGGTCAACAGCTGCCCTTGGAAGATAGGGAAAGTGTTGCGGGAAAAGGCAGATCATATATCCCATGACATCCCTCTAATGGCATGCCATGGATAGATTATATCCATCCTGGAATGGGTAGTCCAGCATTCCAATCTCTGCTCCCCATCATGTTCACTGGATGACTAACTTATCTGCAGCCTGACTTACTCCACCAGTAGTAGCACTTACTGCTGCAAGATGATAATGGGAGTAAGGAACACATCCAGTTCTGCCCTGAGCAACTGGGAGAAAGGACAAGAGAACAATCTAATCAGTCATCCTATCAGCTACGTAGATTGTTGGGAGGAACAACAAAGGCCAAAATGTCCTGCTCGTGTGTCTCTGCACTCACACAGCCCGATTCACCCGCTTCTTCAGATTTTAATAGCTGCAACATTTCACTTTAAGAACACACATTTTGTGCAATATATATGCAGACATGCATATATACCCATGCAATACTGGGCCACATCAATCACTTCGTTGAAGTTAAGTGAGTTGAGTTTTTCCTTAAGTTCTCCTATGGATGCTTCACCTGGGGAGAGGGGAAGATTTCCACTGGGGTCTGGGAAGGTTAATTCCCCTCCCAAGCACAATGGTCCTGAATTCAGCCATTGACCACCAACCCCACTCTTAGAGTAGAAAATTTAGACATGCTGCCTCTCTCCCTCGCTTGCTCTTTCTTTCTTTCTTTCTTTCTTTCTTTCTTTCTTTCTTTCTTTCTTTCTTTCTTTCTTTCTTTCTTTCTTTCTTTCTTTCCTTCCTTCCTTCCTTCCTTCCTTCCTTCCTTCCTTC